AAGAAGCCACAGTCATTATGACTGTTCATAAAAAGGGATACCAGTTCTTGGCCAAGTCCCCCAAATACCCACCCCCAACAGGTACCTGTGCAAGTCTCAGCAACACCTGCCACCTGCTTATTTTCTCTCAAACTCTGCAAGAGGATGGAGGGTGTGAAGTGTGTCCAGCTCTTTTGGAGCCCCCAGAGGAGCTGCTCAAAGGGACACAAACCACATATTCTGCTCCGCTCCAGCCACCAATAGTCCCAGGGGCACCATCCAAAAGAGGGCAGGTCCCTGGGCAGCCCCTCAGATGCCCTGACCCAGGCAGGGAGGAAGGAAGGGCCCCCACAGCTGACTAAGAAAAGCTGGAAGTGGCCAGGCACAGTGGCTCACGTCTGTAATCCCAGCAGTCTGAGAGGCTGAGGCAGGTGGATCACCTGAAGTCAGGAGTTCGAGACCAGCCTGGCCAACATGGTGAAACCCTGTCTCTAGTAAAAATACAAAAATTAGCTGAGCATGGTGGCGCACGTCTGTAATCCCAGCTACTTGGGAGACTGAGGCAGGAGAATTGCTTGAATCCAGGAGGCAGAGGTTGCAGTGAGCAGAGATCATGCCACTGCACTCCAGCCTGGGTGACAGAGCAAAACTCCGTCAAAAAAAAAAAAAAAAGCTGGAAAAGTCCATCACACCCATCGCCCTGTACCGCCTGCTATGACTTCGCTTCCTAATCCTCCCCTAGGACTTCCCTTGGCTGGGACTCAGGATCTACTATGGATCCACAAAGCTATCACCCAACACAGAGGGGGAATAGGCACCAAGGGGGTCTCAGGCCTAGAACATGCCTGCAGCCACAGCCTGCTTGTCAAGGGCCCAGCTGGGGCCCCATGTTGAGACCAGGCCCGGCCAGGACTGGGTCTAGGGTCCAGCCCCTCCACCCTGTGTCCCAGCACATGGCCATCGAGGCACTGACCTGCTTTCTGGGGTGAGCCTGCCCCCTGCAGGGCCCGGGCAGGACAGCCACCGCATTGAGGAGGGCAGCAACCTGGCTCATTCCCCAGGGTGGAGCCTGGAAGAGAGGGAGGTGCCTGCTGCTCAGGGTGAGGAGGAAGTGGCTGAAATGCCAGGAGTCACAGAACAGCGCCATGTCTCTCCACCTGTGTGGGCCACCCTCTGCCCTCCTCCCTCCAGTGCCTGACCAGGCTCTGAGGCGCCAAGACACCCCAGGAATATCACAGGCTTGATTCCTTCATCCCCTAGGCTTTGGGATCTGGGAGAGAGCCTCGCTTCTCCCCCTAGATTCCTGGAGCTGAATGCTTGACCCTTGGCAAAGGACTAGCCCCAGTCTTGGAAAGCACATTGGAACCACAGGTCCCAGCTCTCCCGCTGGGCAGGTCTTTGACCCTGTCCAGACCTCAGTCTTTCCATGTGTAAAATGGGCACAGCTGCGCCAATTCATGGGATTGCTGTAAAGATGAAATGAAAGAAAGGATGAGAATAAAGGATATGCTACTGTGTCCCCCTTTCCATTATCTCTTTCATTCCAGCATCTGTTGTGCTGACATGGCCTCATTCACAAACAATCACTGGTATGGAGATTAGCCAGGTGCCATTGCAAAGGGGCTGTTTCCTCATAGCCACAGCCCTGGGAAGCATCAGTGTGAGACTGGCATGGGCGTGGCACATAGGTCAACCCTGGGAAGGTCAACCCAGCAGGCCTGATAAATCTGCCCTCATTTGAATGGCCGCCCCACACCTGATAAAGAGTTGAGTCCCAGGGAGAATGAAGTGGATTCACCACCCACCACCTCTCCCAGCCTTCTGACCATAGAGCCAAGATGATCACCTTCTATTCCCAACTCGGGAAGGCTCCTGTGGTAGCTTTGGCAGAAACACCTGCTCTTGGCCTGCCCTCTGAGCTTCTCCGGGATTCCTGATGGAGCCACAGAGGTCCCCAGATGGGGCCCAGCTTCTCAGTGTCCTCCCTGGGGTCTGGGTGAAAGGCTCTCAGGCCAGAGTCCCCACTGGGCCTAGAGTGCAGCTCATGTCACTGCTCCCATGGGTAACTACCCTCACTCCCACCATGTTCTGCAAAACTAGCTCAGAGAATGAGAGGGCTGCCCCTAAATAGCCTTGCCCAGGGTCTGAGGAAGAGAGGCTGCTCCAGGCCCTGTAAGCCCTGGGATCTGGACCCCATGGTGCCTTGGAGCAGCCAGGGTAGTTCAGCGTTGAGACCCCAGGCCCCTTTCTCAGTCTAGGGTAGGGGCTCCTGTGCCCTCTGTACAATGCTTACTAACAACTTTCATTTCCCATGGCTTGTATCTATTTATTCCCTCATTTCTCCATTCAGCCCTTATAACAGTCTAGGTATGAGGATGAGACTGACAATGAAATCGGCCCTACCCAGAAGGAACGCATAGCTTAGAAAAGAGAACCAGAAAGATCATGACCAGAGGTATCTTGTTTACTGAGCACTTACTGTGCACTAGTGACTGTTCTGAGCACTTGGACTTTAATTAACCTATGAGGAAGGAAGACTTAGCAGATGAGGAAGTGAGGCCAGGAAGGTTGAGTAACTTGCCCAGGATTACAAATGCAAATTAGGCCCCTGTGGCTCTAGGCTCCATGAACACTGCACTCCAGTCATTGCTGACAGCACAGGGTCTTGCTGGGATCAGTGGGGAAGACCAGAGAAGACCTAGAGCAAACGATGAAACCTGAGCAGAGTTGTGAAGATTGTGACAGTTCATTGGGGTGGGTGTCTCCTCCTACCTTCCTGTTAACCCATGGACTCCTTGAAGACAGAGGCTTCCTTTCATCTGCCTCTCTTTCTCCGGGACCCCATACAGTGCCTGGTATACAGCTGTCACTCAATAGATAGCTGCTGACCAAATAGGTTACAAAAAACGTTAAAAGGTGCCGGGAGCAAGGGCATGTCCTGTTTCTCTTTGACGCCTTAGCTCCTGGCGCCGTTCCAGGCACGTGAACTTGAGCGGAGCCCCACCTTGGTCTGTCGTGCAGGTGGCGGGGTCTGGGGTGGGATTTGGAATGGTGGAGGGTGGACACCTTTCTGCTGGTTTAGCAAGCTGTGCCAGGCATGTCTGAGCAACCGCTGTGTGAATAAGACAACTGCGTGCAGCCCATACCCAGGCTTGAGGTGGGGGAAGAGAAGGAAGACAAGGAAGGGGGAGAATAAACCACACAGGGAGCAGCAGAGGGGAGGGGAGGGAATATGAGGACGGTGCCAGAGGAAGGGGGCAGATGGCCAGGGTGCTGGAACTCCATCTACCCTCTGCCTTAAGCCCCATGACAAAAATCAAATGGCACTGGAGGGGCATTTCCCCAGTTTGTTCATTCATCTCTGCCTTTCATCAGCCCTGACGGAGCCCACCTGCACTCCGTTGGATGACAGACCCCCCTTTGAGGAAGGCACAGCCCTGCCCCTTAGAGCACACTGTCAGTGCTAGGACAGATGGGCGCACACATGTGAACACCCAACTGTGCCCCACCTCAGCCAGGTGCTGCAGAGGAGGGGGTGTCCATCTCGTCTGAATTTTGAATAAAAGTTGGTAGTCTCCAATAAAACCAAGACAGGAGTGTGGAGAGAAAGGAGAGAGGAAGGCTGGGTCAGATGGAGGTCTCTCGTTGAACAAAACCCCCAGGGTACCCAGCCATCTGCCTGCTTCCTCGAGGGCAGTTTGGGGTGGCAGGAATTTGAGGTGGGTAAGGGAGGCTAGTGTAGGAGCCAGAGCTGGGGAGAGGCCAGAAGAAGCTGCACCACCAGGACCGGGAGGTGGGCGAGGAGTCTAGGCTTTCCTCAGTGACCAGCAGGGAGCAGCTGGGGTGTCTCTAAGCTGAGAAGACGACTCAGTTTCCAGTAATCGCCCCCGCTGGAGTGTGGAGCATGGAGGCAGGGAGGCCAGCAAGGAGGCTGTGCCCACATGCCCATAGTTAGGACGAGAAAGGACGTTATGACAAATACAGTGTCCATGGGAAGCCTTGTGAAGGGGGTGAGGGAGAGAGACAAGGCCAGGATCCAGGCTCCTGGCTCAGCTTTTCAGGTTCTCCAGGATAAAGGGCAAGGAAGGACCAGATCCAGGAGGATGATGGGCGCTCTTTTGCATGGGTGGATTGAAGGAGGTGATGTCCGGCTCACAGTTGGCAATGGGAGTCTGAGACTGGGAGGGACCTCAGCGGAGATTCAAGTTTGGGCGTTATCAGAACATATGGGCAACTGTAACCATGGGCATGTCCTGGATGACCCACAGGGACAGTGAAGAGGAAAAAGAGAAGAACACCCACACCAGAATCCAGGGGTGAGTCAACGTGTAAGGAGTGAGCAGAGCAAGAGGAGGCTGCAAATCAGAGCAGGGGCAACTAGAGGGTCAGGAGTAGATCGGGGAGTGCAGAGAGAAGGGGCCAGGTTAGTGCAGCGGCCGGCCAGGGAGCTGGTCCCAGGAGTGGCTGGGAGTGGCAGGACCTAGCGGTGGGCCAGGGAGGACATTAGGAGTGGATGCCTCAAGCCAACGGGGAGCCATTTGCCTGAGAAGAAACACGCTCTGCAGGAAGCAGGGAGGCAGCAGGTGGGGCCTGGGCCTCCTTCTCCCCAGATCACCCCTTCACTGGCCCCTTGCAGCCTGCCCCAGAGGCCTCTGTACTTGACGCCCACGTTTCCCCCACCCTTGACTCCACTATCAGCGCATCGCTGCCGTTCTCACTGAACATCCTCATCTGCCAGGCTGTTGAACTGGCTCACGTGCCCCTGCGCTGCCTCTGGTGTGTTCCATCTGTCCATGTCTGCTGGACACCATCGTCTGTGAGCTGCCTGTGTCCTCTGTTTGCTGTTGTTGTGCCTGTGTGCTCAGGTGGCCCATGGGCCTGTGTCTGTTCTTCCTAGATAGAAAGCTCCCTAGGCCGGTCCTTGTCTGGATTAGCTGCTCCACCCAGCTGTGTCCCCCTCACCCCCTAAACCAGGGCCCTAGTAGGGGCCACCTCAGAAACCAGGCCAGAATCAAAAATACGTTTGCAGAAAGGCAGGAAACTTTATTGAATTATTGTTTCTTTGGGGTAGAGAAGTTGAGAAACCAAAGAGTATCCAGGTCACAGAGGAGAGAGATCCAATGGGAAGAGAAGAGCACAGAGGGCCCATCCTCAGGAGACAGTCGGGATGTGGGGTCCTGAAAGCAGAGGGATTGAGGCTTGGGTGCAGCAGCCCCTCCCCTCTCCTGCAGGGAACTGCCAGCTCTCTCCTCCTCTGGGTGCTGAAGACAGAGGGAGGGGACGCCAGGCAGATTTAAGGCCTACGGACGTCAGAAGTGCGGCGGCCAGAGGCATTAGAGGTGGTGGTAACAGAGACACTGGAAGCTGTGGTAACAGAGGTGCTTCGGGGGCTGACGCTTCCTGGGAAACGGGAGACAAAACACGCTCAGGCTGGAGGAGACCCACCTCAGGCCAGGGCAGGACCCCCCAGGAGGGCTCGCAAACTCCTCATTAGTCAGGTGGTTCATGGATGGGGACTCTATCGTCCCCAAAGATGGCTCTTGCCAAGACAGCCCAATAGCTCTATGGGGCAGAGCCATCAATTTCAAAAGGAAAATCAATGAGCAAATGACCACTTCCACCCCAGCTCTCCACCCCCCTACACTGGAGAGCCCAGCACTGGCTCCCTCCCTCCCCGCCAGCTCCCACCCCCATTGGGGCAGTGAACAGGAGCCTAACTCCGCCTCCCCCCACTCCATGGGGCTGTTCCCTTACCTGCTGAGGAAGGGATACCAGTCATCCTGGGAGAAAGGAGAGAGGTGGCCATGAGCAGAGGGTAACTGAGGGCAGGTGCCTACCTGTTCCTCTGGGGGAGTGCCTCGGCTTGTCACTTGGAGCCCCTGGGCTAGACTCTAGTGCCTCCTAGCTGTGCCCCCAGCTCAAGAGGCAGCAGCATCAGGTGCCTGTCTGTCTTGCCTGTCTATCTGTCTGTCCGAGAGGTCTCAAGGGGAGATATTATTAGCCACAAGATTCAGGGTGTTCGTCCTCCCTCTGAATCGCCCAAACCCACAACCCTCCACCTGAGCCCTGAGCCCACAAGGTGGCTTGATCTCTGCTAAGGGTCTAAAGGCTGCTAAAGCACCATAGTAATAGCTTTGTTCAGCTGAGCTGAATCCAAGCTCATATTTTTCCAATATCAGATGTTCCCTCCACGGTCTCTATTCCCTCCAGTCGAACTCAGAGGCCAGAATTCGAAAGTTTAAAGGTGTTAACCTTGCAGCCTACCAAGGAAATGTCCCGTAAACTCAGTGAGGGGTCTCCTCTCTGACATGAGGGGGTAGATCTCTAAGGCGCTGCCTGCTCTGACACCCAAGGGTCCTGCAGTCACTATCCTAAGAAAGAGGCTGGAGAGGACCTACTTGGCGTCCTGGTCCTCGAGCAGGCTGCGGTAGGTGGCGATCTCCTGCTCCAGCCGCGTCTTGATGTCCAGCAGCATCTTGTACTCCTGGTTCTGGCACTCCATCTCGCTGCGGAGCTCGCTCAGCTGGGCCTCAATGCTGCTGATGAGCCCCTGGATCTGCTGCAGCTGCAGGGCGTAGCGGCACTCCGTCTCCGCCACCGTGTTCTCCAGCCCGGCTTTCTGGTGGAGTGACAGAGAAGAAGTTACAGGGGGAGCCAGGCCAGAGAGAAACCTAGAGGTGATGGCCACCGGGCAGGAGGCCGCAGGCATACCATGCTCAGCTGGGACTGCAACTCAATCTCCAGGCCCTGGAGCGTGCGCCTGAGCTCCGTGATCTCTGTCTTGCTGGTCTGAATCATGGCAGTGTTGGTAGACACCTCCTTGTTCAGCTCTGCACTCTGAAATGCAAGCAGGAAGAAGGTGATAGGGAAGCTCAGCTCAAGCAGCCTGACCAAGAGGCTGTGTCCGCCCGGCTCCCCGGCTATATGGGATAAGGCTATGTGGGGTGGGAAGGCTGGGTACCTTGGCGTGGAACCATTCCTCAGCATCCCGGCGGTTCCTCTCCGCCATGGCCTCGTACTGCGCCCGCATCTCCGCCAGCACGCGGGTCAGGTCAATGCCCGGGGTGGCGTCCATCTCCACGTTGACCTGGCCGACCACCTGGTTGCTGAATTCCTTCATCTCCTGTGGGGATGGGAAAGGAAGATGTGTGAGGCTCCACATCCTCCCTCTCCTCCCTCTCCTTGGCTCTGAGTGCTGGCAGAGTGTTCTGGAAAGTGTTTCCAGGTCCTACAGTGGAGGACTGTGTCCAGCTGCAGGGGAGGGCTCCTCCTTCTGACTGGAGGTGGCTCAGCCCAGGGCAGCCTGCAATCCCCGCTCACCTCCTCGTGGTTCTTCTTCATGTAGGCCAGCTCCTCATTCAGGCTCTCGATCTGCATCTCCAGGTCGGTCTTAGACAGGGTGAGCTCATCCAGCACCCGGCGCAGGCCGTTGATGTCAGCCTCCACGCTCTGGCGCAGGGTCAGCTCGTTCTCATACCTAAAATAGTAAAAAAAAAAAAAAAAAAGATGTTTTTTGGAAAAGCACGACATAAATGATACGAGACACTCCCCCCACCCCTGCACCGGACTCCAATACTTTAGACCTTCACTCCTGGGATGCTCCAATGTCATTGGTCAGATGGGCTTTTGTCTAAGCTAAGAGACTCCTGGGAAAGGAGAAGGAGGGAAAAAAAAACTCACTTGAGCCTGAAGTCATCCGCAGCCAGCCTGGCATTGTCAATCTCCAGGATGACCCGGTTGTTTTCAATAGTGGCGGTCAGGATCTACAAAATGCAGAAGAAAGTTACCTCTAGGGCATGGGTGTCCAGTCTGTTGGCTTCCCTGGGCCACATTGGAAGAAGAAGAATTGTCTTGGGCCACACTTAAAATACGCTAACATTAACAATAGCTGATGGGCTAAAAAGAAATTGGCAGAAAAACCTCATAATGTTTTAAGAAAGCTTACAAATTTGTTTTAGGCCTCAGTCAAAGCCGTCCTGGGCCACATGCAGCCCACTGGCCGCAGGTTAGACAAGCTTACTCTAGGGGGGTCCATGTGCTTGAGGAGGTGGCCTGGGAAAACATGGGCAGGACCTGGTTCCCATGGGGCTCTGCCTCTAAACTGTCCTGTGAGCTGGGACAAAGCATCTCCTTCTGGGCCTCCATTGCTCTTCTGTAAAGTGAGGGGTGGGGCTGTATCCCCTTCAGTCGTTTCTATCACTTTAATATTCCATGTCTGAGCACCCTGGGGAAGACGCAGGGAGTGCATTTCTGAAGAACGACCTGCTGAGAACATCTTTGGTTCATCATGTCTCAGCAGCCTCAGACTAGCACCTTCCCTAGGCCACTGTCTTGAGATCCCTCCCCTGAAAGTCAGGAGGGACTCGGTTTGGTGCCACGTATCTCACAATCACTTTGCTGGAGCTGACCTCCCAGCTGAGTGGTGGGGAAATCCAACAAATATTCCCATCCGTTTGAATTTATTGTCTAAACGTTTATATTCCAAAGCACTGAAAGCCTACTCCATATGGCCAGGACTCAGCCCAGGCTGGTCGATTTCTGCTCCAATAGGCTGATATCACAGCACAACAGACAGGGCTTGACAAAGGGCACCCAGGCTCAGCACAGACTGAGCCTCTGCCTCTCTCTCCCCCACCTTGGCCATCGCCAGTTGAGAATACCAGTTTGAATGGGACCCTACAAAGTAAACAGTTATTCCCAGGGCAATGAATGAACATGTCTCTCTTTCTCTATTGATTTCCCGCATTCTTAGTGGCTTTTAAACCTGTCATGTTTCCAGATAACTCAGTAGGTTAGGATTATAGAGATCGACTCATGAATAACATAACTGTCTGGAAAGCAGTAGAAAAACTGACATGAGTAATAACAATCATAAAAATGAATAATGAGAGAAAACGCGTTTGGGGAGCTGTGGCATGAGAAAGTCCATCAGAGATAGAGACTCTCGGTAGTAAAAGAGGAGGCTTTTCCCCTGCAAGAAGGATGTGAATTCTATCCACACCTGGTCCCCCACAACACTGTGTTTCTTGGCCTTGGAGGCTCTGCCCTGCATGGAGGACCCCTCCTCAGCTTCCAAGGGCTCACCTTGTCCCGCAGCTCTTCAATGGTCTTGTGGTAGGGGCTGTAGTCCCGCTCAGGGCTAGCTGGGCTCTGCTTCAGGTGCCAGTCACGGATCTTCACCTCCAGGTCGGCGTTGGCCTCCTCCAGGGCGCGCACCTTCTCCAGGTAGGAAGCCAGGCGGTCGTTGAGGTTCTGCATGGTGATCTTCTCATTGCCAGTGAGGAGGCCACCATCACAAGCACCAAAATCAACAAAGCCACCAGCATAACCCCCACCAAAGCCACCTCCAAGGCCACCTCCGTAGCCACCTCCAAAGCCACTACCAGCCCCTCCACCAAAGCCACAGGTCACGCCGCCTCCATAGCCTCCAGCTGATCCCCCAGAGACAAACCGAGTTGAACAGCTAGAGACACTGCGGCCTCCTCCCAGCTGGCAAGAGCCACCCCCAAAACCACCTCCATAGCTGGCGGAGGAGCTCTGCAGGCGGAGGCTCATGGTGAGAGCAGGATTGAGAGCAGGTGCAGACAGAAGCTTGCTTGGCCTGGGCTGAGGACTGTGGCTCTTCCCCGGAGTGGACACCTTTTATACACCTCCACGGGGGCTGGATATCGTCTCTCCTCCCTTCCCCACCCTCTGACTTGGTGCCAACTACACTTCTGTTTCCCACAAGCTTAGTTATCTCTGCTCTCTCCAGGGTGGGTTGTGCCTTTTGGGGATGGCTTTTTTTAAATCCTTAACAAAAGGAATGATTCAGAGGGGACAGCATTCTGCCTGAGACTGCCCTTTTGACAAGTGAATTCTGTTTCACCTCCACTTAAGGAGTTCACTCTGCAGGCTCGGAGCCCCACCCAGTATTAGAACGGGACCTGAGATGCAGAGGCCTGCCAGGAGCTTCTGCAAGGAAAGTGGTGGCTGCAGAGTGGCTCTGTGCTTTCCAAGATCACGGTAGCCCTCGACCTCCCTTTTTTCTATACCTAAAACTTCTGACTGGGATGTCCTGGGTTCTTCTTAGGACTTCATCTACTCCAGGGGCCCCAGCAACTCTGATGACAAACTTGGCTTGGTCCAATAGAATCAACTGCCTTGAAAGTATTTAGACTGATAAAGTATTTAGACTGCCTTGAAAGTATTTAGACTGATACCTCCCAGGCCATCAGAAAAAGTCACAGTGACAGAGGGATCTTAGGGGCTGTCAGACACAGCTGTGGAAACTCAGGCGGGGAAAGAGGAAGTGGCCCTGTGCATTATCATAGCGAATATTCTCAGAGCCCTCACCATAGGCAGGAACCAGGTGAAGTTACTTTATACTCGTCGTCTCATTTAACCTTCACAGCAGCCCCAGGAGGAGGGCCCTACTATTGCCCCCATTTACACATGAGGAAAATGAACCTTAAGGGCAGAATCAGGACTGAAATCCAAGTCTGGTTCTGTCTGACACTAAGGCACATTTTTTTTAGGTACATTTTTCATACAGTAAAATGTATAGATCACGTGTCCAGCTTGATGTCATGCATGGGTATGCACTACCTGTGTAAACACCACCCAGGACATTCCCAGCGTTCCATAAATGTCCTTGTGCCTTTTCCCAGTCAATTACCTGACTCCACACCCCTGATGTAACCACTCTTCCAGCTTCTGTCCCCATAGACAAGTTCAGAGGTCCTTAGCTAGAGGCTGCTTTGCTCCCCAGAGGACGTTTGACAATGTCTAGGAACATTTTGGTTGTCACAACTTGGGGGTACTACTGATAGCTAAAGACCAGGGATGCTGCTAAACATATTATAAGATGCAAGACAGTCCCCACAGCAAAGAATTATCAGACCCAAAATATCAATAGTGTTGAGGTTGAGATGCCCTGGGTCGGTCTGGCCCTCAGGTTGAATCACTCCATGACACTAACTGCTTTAGGGCACAGCCATGTCCAGGAAGATGGCCCTGTAATAACGTGAGCAGGGTCCTTTCTAGTACGCCAGTCATATGAGGTCTGTCCCAACCTGTGAGTGTTTGATCAAGAGGCCACATAAGAGGATGTGACACAGGACCTAGGACCAGGGTCTCTGCTTAGGATCCTGAGATGTGGCTGAGAAACTCAGGGACTATGTAAGAACCCTGCCAGAGGCAGCTTCCCCGTTCAGGCTGGGAGGAAAGGACCTCAGATGGCATCTGCGAGGCCAGGCTAGAAGGCCCTCCATTCCAGGGCTGACAGTGGAGGACTCTGAACTCAGACTCCCAGGCCCCACTCACCAAGGGGCCAAGGTTGCTGTGGATGGCATCTTGGGATCAGCTTTCTGGCCCACAGCAGCCACAACGGTCTGGATGATACCAGGCCAGGGGCTGGGTGGGGTGGCACAGGCATGAGGTTCTCCTGGAACCCCCTTCACTGATTCAGCAAGACCAGAAAGGAGAAATCTGAGTCAGGGCTTTCTGGGCCTTTGTTTTCTGGGGGAGAGAAGTGGGCCTGTGCTTCCCACAGGGTTATCAGCAGGGACAGAGTCAGGGTGCGTGGCCAGTGTTCTAACAGCCTGGCAAGGCGGGGGATTCGGGCTGACCCCTGACCCTGCCCAGCCCTCCTGCCCAAGCTGATGGCTCAGCTCTCTCTCTGAAAAGGGGTGATTCAGCCCAAAGCAGGAGCTCTTGCTCTCTCGGTAGAGGATCAAAACTGACAAGAGGGTGATTAATGGAACCTGCCAGGCCTGGGGTAACAATGCCCCAAACCTCCCAGGGCTGACAAGCAGGTTCAGGCCAACGCCTCTTAGAGTAACAATGCCACAGATCCTCCAAAGCCCCAGCAACACAAACACGGAGTGGCCCATGACATTCTTCCCTGCCTGCTTAGCGGGGACTTGTAATGCCCTGACACAGGACTGCCTTCCTCCAACCCGCAGTGAATCCCAGCTGATGGCCTGATGGAGCGGCCTGCCTGCTGTCTGTTCCTGGTCTGAGCTCCAAAGCTTGGGGGCCCGTAGGAGTGCTCATTCAGCACAAAACTGTTGTAGGAACGTTCTCATCCAACCCCCTCATGTCACCTGTGTGGAAACTGAGGCCCAGAATGCCAAGGCCCAGAATGCTGAGGTTCAGGAATAAGGGGGGAAAAATGCATGAATTTCCAGCCGCACCACCAGCCCATCGTGGGCCTTACATTGAAATGATTTCTAAGTTTCCTTCAGCAAGTCGCCTTTCTGAGTCTCTGACTCTCAAAGATTTGTCCACAGTCATTAGATTGTTTATCTGCGGAGGTGAGGCTTCAACCCTGTCACTCAGATTCTAATCTGGAATTCCTTGCTTGGATCAGGCACCTCTCTCCTTGGACTTCAAGGGACCCAGAATCCAGGACGACTGACCAACCTCAAAAAGGGTTTCAAGTCTCCTCCACAGGGAAGAGGCCTCTCTTGAAAGGCAACCCCTCCCCAGAGAGTCACCCCAGGCCCTCTGGGCAGCTCCCACTCCTCAGAGATGCCTGCTTGGCACAGCACCACTCAGAAGTCTTTCAAGGCTACAGCTCAATGCCTTAGGCTCTTCCATTTCTACAGCACCCAGCTTTTTAAAATCCTTTTTACACCACCACTGGTTTCTCAGATACCCAGTGAGCTCAGCAAGGGCTTTGGACAAGGTAGACCTGAGTTTCAATCCTCCATCCGCCACCGACTCGCTGTGTAATCTTGGGAAAGTCACTCAACCTCTCAAGGCCTCAGTAGTCACCACTGAAAAATGGGTACTGGATGAGTTAATATTCCAGGTTCCTCAAAGACCTGAGACACGGGAGGTGCTGGGCAGGCGGGAGGTTGCTACTGCCTCCCTTTTACAAATGAGGAAATGCAAGGTTAGCATTGCTCAGTGACCTGTCAGGATTCCTCTGAGCCTCCACCCGGCAGGGACACATTACTTTGCCTCCCTTCTCTTTCTGGTCCCTACAGCCAGCATGGCGCCCACAGCAAGCAGGCAAATGGGAGGAGGTGAATTTCCTAGTTTATTTCTCCCACTCCATATCAGGTTCCCTGAGGATGGGACCTTTGCTGAATATACCTGCAAATCCTGCTCGTGGCACAGGAAAGCTCAGGATAAATGTCTGAGATGCCGTTTCAGGGATATTTTGTCCCCTGGCTTTAGGTGAGGATTGGCAAAGGTGAGTGGTATCCAGTGGGGTCACCCCAGCTCCAATTCAGGAGAACCACAGGTAGTAATAGAAAAAAAAAATTGCAGGAGAAAAGCTGTCTGCTCCTTATTTCCCCTGTGCTGCCAGCTGTCCATGGAGGGACAGGTGGCCAGGTGGTCACCAGGTGGGCACATGCCCAGCATACTGATGAATGTCTAAGGCGGGAAAAAGCAAAGGAGAAGCAAGTTCACGCATTAAACGAATATTTATTTAGCACTCGCACTGAGAATTCAGCAGTGAAGACACCGAACACAGTCCCTGCTGTCACAGGCTCCCTTCTGAGGTCCCAGGACACAGATCATCTCATAGAGACCCTCAGGATCATCTTGTCCAGCCAGACTCCCAGTTGAAAAATGGGGAAACTGAAACCCAGAGAGAGGCAGGGGCCAGCCGCAGTCCTCCGGGTGATAGCGGCAAGCAAGTCTTACGCCTGGTCTAGGAAGCCCAGCCTGAGCAGAGGACACACCCAAGGCCCTAATCTCTGGTCGGAAAGCAGCCATCTCTCTGTGGGAAGAAGGGAGGGGCATCGCCCACTGCCTGCTTCTCTGATTGGCTGGAAACCAAGCCTGACCTCAGCCCAGGGCAGTCAGAAGGTGCACCCTTTCTGCCCAGAGACTACTTAAAGGCTCAGCAGGGCATGAGCCATCCCTGGATGCGGGTGTCTCACTCCAGGGTCAGGCTGGGGATGAGACTTGGCAAGTTCCAAGGATTTCTCTGACAGCCCCTCCAGGCATCCCAGGAAAGCAGAAATAGGTACTTCAGGGAGATAGGAGATTTTCCTCCTACCCCCAAGCCAGAGTCTGGCCCAGAGAGAAGGCACGCTGGACGCAGCCCATAGGCGAAGTCACCTTGCCTCTCTGCACCTTTCACAGAGGTTGTTAGTTTTGGAAACTAAAGGCTGAGAAAACCCTTTGCCGGCTGCTTGGAAGGCCTGAGACCTCTTGACAGAGGCCTGAAGGCCAGTGAGGCAGAAGCAGCAACCAGGCCACCAGCTTCCACTGCCAGGGACCGAAGAGAGGTGGGAAGGAGACTGAGTGTTCCCAGGACGTGGGGGATCTGGCAGCTACTGGTTTGGGTGTCCGGGTGAACTTAAACCACAGCATGAGAGACTATGGTTAGGCGTGAGGACAATCTTTCTGACGTTAATGACTGTATGGCATTTGGCATGCTGCCCGCAGAGGTTAAGAAATGGGTTTCTGTCGGGTGCAGCAGTTCACTCCTATAATCCCAGCTACTCGGGAGGCTGAGGTAGGAGGATCACTTGAGGCCAGGAGCTGAGACCAGCCTGGGCAACAGAGCGAGACTTGGCCTCTTAAAAAAAAAAAAGACAGGTTTTAGATTTTTAGTTAGCATACCTCTTAAGAAGAGTGTTACAGCTTCTGCCACCTCATGACTTAAAGGGCA